TTACAGTGTTGTAGAGCCTGTGGAAATGCAGGTGAATTGGTAGTTTAGTATAGAGATTTTCTTTCGGCACCAGGATATCATGCAATCTTTCCTTCCCTGTAAACAAGGACAGATTGTGTCTCACATATGCTGCCCATTTTAGGAACCTTTCATGTACTTTTTTCTCTTAGTCATTGGTACTAAAGTACTAACCCGTATGCCCAGTAAACTACCCTTACCAATNTGACGTATAATTCTTCTCAGTCGAAGACGTATAATTCGTCGTAAACGTATAATTCGTCTCAGACTTATAACTAGTCTCCGACGAATAACTCGTCTCAGACGTACAATTCGTCTCAATTGGCCGTTTTTGTATACTAGAGGGCGCATTATCCGTCCAGAAGGATAATGCGCCCTCGACGTTCTTGCACTAAAGGAACCCACGGAACTGGGGCCGAATGAAACCTCCCATAAAATCCGACATCCTTTATTCTCGTTTTATTGCTCTCTCATTTTGCTGTGTTCGTTTGTACGTGAAGTAGTGGGTGGAGGAAGAGGAAGAGGAGGTGAAGGAGATGACTGTCTATGTTTTAGCCTACGTAGTTGGCGGGATTTGCTAGAGTGGTCAGTTTGGCGGCCGAGCTGCGAATCAAATACCGCCAGCTACGCAGGCTATATGTTCATCAATGAAACTTTTAATTGGATTTTCACTCAACATGTCATCCTGTCGTGGTGGTAAAGCTATTTCAATAGGTAGCACAAGTTTTACAAGCTTTTCCTCATAATTCTTGTGAAATGCATAAGCAGGAATGTCAAACGTAACGTAAAATATATTCCTGTGGAGCTAACTGGGACCAAAAAAGGTTTGCACTGTAGCTGTGGTAGATGTAGACTCAATTACCAGTCGCTTTTGGAGAAAGGAGCGCGCACTCCCCGGAATCGAGTGAGCGGCAGGAATTGAGCCTATGCAAGATGGCCATTGGCTTTTTTGATCAGTACTTATATCTCTCTGTTCCTATTTCCATGATATTTATTGGTTAAATATAATGGTTTCAGTATTATCTCTAGAGAGTTAACACTTAAAAATTTACAATAGACCTATTCACGGTATAATCTTTGAAATGGCCAAACATGATTCGAATATCAAATAATCCTGTTCAATTTGGATCGCTTAAAAATTGTCTGTAAACTTAAGATACTGGTTCAAGACGTTTTTACACACAGCTGTCGTTACAGAGCAGATAGGCTCCTGTCTTCACTAAGCGGCAGGTGGCTAAAGAAAATGATTGTTCATTGGTAATTTGAACAATTTGATCCCTGCAGTGGCAACTTCGCTCATTTGCGCCTCCTCAAGTCATTAATTTTTCTTTGTAGTAACTTGTCCAGTTCACGGTGATAAGAGCAAAGACTGGAACAATGCTTTAACGTTTTAATAAAGTTCTTGCTGTTGAGAATCGTTTCACAGGCTTCACACTCTGTAGTATCTTGACTTGTGGGCGCACATGGTCTATCGACATTAGAGTTTATTCGTTTGGTTGTTGGCTCTGTACTTATTTTTTTCGACCAGGCAGTTTTTGACCTTATTAGAGGCTGTAACACTTTCGTGGAGACAAAACGTTTCTTTCGTAGATTTGCTTTGCGAATATCTTGTGAAGTTTTCTGTGTCATTTTACCAGTGGTTTGCTTTTCCCTGATATCAGTACTACACTGTCTGGTGGTACAGATTGACTGTGTTTCTTCAAGGTCGGTTTGTGTCTGAGCATCTCGGGTGGAAGAAGTAACCTAAAACGTCGAAAAGAAGTGACGTTTGTTCGGCTAAGACGTTAAGTGTCACCGTCACTGTCAATCAATCAATCAATCAATCAATCAATCACTCAATGAACCAGTCAGTCAGTCAATCAGTCAATTAATCAATCATCTATCCATTGATCAATAGGTCTATTTCGATATATTTAAACTTTAACTTGGCTCCTCGGCTTAGGGCAATAAAACAAACGAAATCGTATCGAAGATGAGATATGAATAATTAATCTCTTTTGAGTCAATTCCCCTAAGCCTCAGGGCTAGTTAGAATCTTGATATATCGAAATTGGCCTTTTAAATAGAGCAATCAATCGATCGATCTACCTTGTTGCTTGAGAATACTAGATGTCGTCCGCGATTTAACGATCAAACAATCAAATCAATCGATCGATCAGTTACAGTCGACATCTATTCTTCTCAAGAGACAACGTACTCAAGGACAATTTTATTTCTATCTAATTGATCAAAGTTCTAGTAACAGTGATGACAAAACCAAACCAAAGCTAAGTTACCATATCACTGAATAACGTTAAACAATTTACCTGGCTAAGGTCGTTCTCTGAATCAGTTAGAACATTGGACGACTGTCGTTTTTCGGTCCTTTTGCCATGTAGTGGCTTTGGTCCTCCTGTTGTCAGGAAAGTTGCAGTTCGGTACAATCAATATAACAGGTGACGAAAGTGGAGCAGTGTGAAAGATGTGAAGAATACTGGTCAGTAAGTCGAGGAATGAGTTGGAATTACGTAAAGCACTTCAATTAATTACGCAAGCCCTACCATCAAATACTGTAAGAAACAGGCAGCGACCAAAAAATGACAATTATTATACGTTGTAGTCACTATCTGTCTTCTCATTGGCTAAGAGCCTACTGTTAATTCTGGGAAACAGCACAACCTACAGATTATTCACTAATCTGCTGGCAGATTAGTGAATAATCCGTAGGTTGCACGCGCAATGCATGATTTCCAAGAGCAATGTCAAGTTCACCCAAGAACATGGCTTGTCGAAAATAAACTGTGTTCGGTGCGATAATGCGTTTGTCGTTATTTTCTTTAAAACAATGTATAATAAAACAACTATGGGATTCGGTTTTTGTGACATCCGAAATACTCAAGGTCTTGGTTAGTGTTATCAGCCTCAGCCTTCGGCTTCAACTGATAACACTTACCTCGACCTTGATTATTCCGGATATCACAAAAACCTCATCCAGTAATTGTTTACAATTTGCGCGATCAATGTGGCAACAAGCGCCTCTTTCAGGTTGTTGTTTTTCTTTTTTCCACATACTATTAGTTACGTACGTCCCAGCTGCTATGGAGAAAACTCAAATATATGTTGGGTGGACACGCGGAGAGAACAACTCGACTTAAGGACGTTCGCGCGAAAATTTTCCAACATTGCCTTTTTTCCGAGACTTTTACCACAGTAAGATGACGAGTTAGTTATGTCAGAAATGTAAAAAAATGGGGGGTCACCGACTTCGTTTAGGAGAGAACATGCCCGGAAGAACACCCTAAATCTGAAAAAGTCGGTCTTTGTTAGCGAATAAGGCCACAGTGTCTGTAAGCCCAAAAATATTCTAATTAGATCATTGAAGTGAAATGTTCTCTGCCAAATATTGTTTAAGTGGACCTATTAAGTGAATTTAGTCAACTGGTGAGGTTCCTTAAAGAACAAGTTCGCATTTAGTGACCATAATTTCATGCGCCTTGCAGCCGCAAGATGGCAGGATTCGATGTCCCGTGGACAGATATTTTGAATTTTTTTTAACTTCCCACATTGATATTTTGTTCATGTTTGGACAATGTGGAGATAATTGTAAAAAAAATCTGTTTCTGGAAAGAAAAGAAGGGGTTACCGAATGTCCAAGATCGTTAAATCCAGGCAAAGCTATAGCAATGGTCATCTGCCCTATCATTGTTCATTTTATTACTTAGCGCGTGCTGTCATGCATGACGTGGCGTGTAAATTTGCGTGCGCAGTAAGGATGCGCAGAAACAATTAGCGCGAACTTCCTTAAGGACTAGGAATTAACAGGTAACAGCTACTTGACTGTGTGAAGAAAAAACTAAGAAAGGATCGGTGACATATCCGATATATTTAATACAAAACATCTCTACCTGTACTGGAAGGAAACATAGATACGTGCAAGCCTAATAAATAGACCTTTAGTTTTCCACAAGTAACCAAGCAAAAATCGAATCATAGCCCAGTTGACTGTAACTGGCAGATGGCAGAACGAGTTTTCTAGTCAGCCGTTTTTGATTGAAACTTTCCCTGTTGTAGACAAATTAAATCTTGCAGTCACATCTTTGAAAGAACCGTACATATGCCATGCTTAACGCTCGTGCGCTTAAAGACATGACTGCACAATTTTAAAGGGACTTTTCAATTTCATTCTTAGCAAATTTGCAACACCGAGTAACTTAAACCCTGTTTCCCTAACAGGCACGTAGGGCTGGTTGTAGAAACATTAACACTGCGCCAGAACTCTCAACTGGACTTATAGCGCGACTACTCAAACTGGGCCACTCGGAAAGGAGTTAATATGTACCGCTAGCAGTAAAGATGTGTATAACTAGATACCTTGAGAATTTCCAGTGATACAATGAAGAACGAAGATTGCAACCCTCCTGAATTCTTCAGACTGAAAAGAAACAAAGAGATGGTTCTTTTCATCTTTCAGCTTAACCGAAGTCATTCATTTCTGAGCTACGTGAAAAAAGACTTTTAACTGTACATTGATGTCCAAACGGATATGAACAAGCTTATAATGTAACAGGAGCAGGACACATTGAAAAGGGTTTAACTGTACTCAGGAGTCAGGTTTTGTACATATTTATTAATAAGCTTAAAAGCCTGGCCAAACGGTGCATGATAGTTGAATGATTCTCCCCGAATTTTCACCGACTATCATCAACTACCATCGACTATCATGCGCCGTTTGACCAAGGCTTAATTAAGCAAAATATATTTATTCGTCAGAGATTACACTGAGCAACACTGCGATTTTGTAACAGCTTGGCCATGTTCAAATCTATGCTTAATTAAAATTAACCTATGCTCAAGTAAGAGTGGTAAAAATGATTTCAAACTTTTCCAGAATTGAAGGCTATGTACGATCGAAGACAATACTAAAGTATGTGTCACTATGAAAAAGCTTCATAATTATTTTAGTCCTTGTTTCACATTGGAAACTAGTAAGTACCTGTTCTTGAGCAAGCAGTTCAACCAAACGTTCGACACCTTCTCTGTCTCTTAGTTGCCGTTGGTTACGTTCTAAAGCAGATATATATCAGCTGAGTTATGAACAAAACAGGGAGGCGCGGTGGTCTCATGGTTAGTGCGCTCGTCTCCGGATCGAGCGGTCCGGGTTCGAGCCCCGGCCGGGGACATTGTGTTGTGTTCTTGGGC